CCAATTTTCATTCCCGTCGCTCCAATGTATCATTCCTGTCATTCCTGGTGTCATTCCTGTCATTCCTGGTGTCATTCCTATCATTCCTGGTGTCATTCCTATCATTCCTGGTGTCATTCCTATCATTCCTGGTTCATTCCTGTCATTCCCGTCATTCCAGCCGCCATTGTCGACCTACTCTACTCTCTCTGGATCGAGTCTCAATTTCTCGAGTTTTGATTGGTCCTTCAGGGCAAGTATGTTGACTCTGATTGGCTGGAGAGAGAGAGAGAGAGAGAGAGAGAGGATGGGGTGGGATGGAGAGAAAGAGAGGGAGGAGGGAGGGAGGAGAGGGAGGGAGGAGGAGGAGGAGGAAGGGGGGGTAGGGTGGGGGGTAGGGGGTGTATTGATCAGATGCAGAGTCCAAGCAAGCCAGGGAGGGGGGGGGGGAGGGGTGAAGGGGAGGGGAGGGAGCTAGGGAGGAGGGGAGGGGGGTTAGGAGGAGGAGAAGAGGAAAGAATGGGGAGTGAAGAAGGAGGGGAAATGGGAAGGTGATGAGAGCGTGGAAAGGGTGTAAGGATTAGGGCAAGGGAGAAAGGGGTGAGGGGAAGGGAGGAGGACGGAAGGGGGGAAAGGGGGGGGACACAGGAGATTAATATACCTGTGTTTGTGTATTAATTAGTTTACCTTGTTAGGCCTAATTAACCTTCACAATTTAAGGTTGACTTTCTTTCTCTTGACGCACTGATGCCAAGTTCAGGTCGTGTTTATCTTTGACACTGTGCCAGGCGAACGATTGCCTACACGAGCGTTGGGCTGAAAAGTTCACGAGAGAGAGAGAGAGAGAGAGAGAGAGAGAGAGAGAGAGAGAGAGAGAGAGAGAGAGATAACAAGAATGGAAAGGGAGAGAAGAGGAAGGAAGGAAGGAAGGAAGGAAGAAAGAAAGAAAGGAGTAATTGGAAAGAGGGGGAGGGCGTAGGGAGGCCAATCACCAGCCTCGATACATAGTGCCTGAGTGTCACCAGCCAATCACCAGCCTCGATACATTGTGCCTGAGTGTCACCAGCCAATCACCAGCCTCGATACATAGTGCCTGTGGATTACTAGCCATTCACAAGCGTTATTACATTTAGGACTCGACCAATCATTAACCTCGCAACATCATTCTAAACGACTCGACCAATCATGGCTCTTCATTTATCGTCCTGTATGATATCCACCAATCAGGAACGTCGTCATATGTCTCGTAGGAATAATAACGACCAATCTCTCTGACCTTTGTTTAGCTCCCATTTATCCTCCTCCTCTTCTTCTCCCCATTTATCCTCCCTCCTCTTTCTCCCCAATTATCCACCCCTCTTTTTCTCCCCTTAATCGCTCTCATACCATCGTTAACCAATCGCATTCATCCTTATATCTCGATATTTCCGTCAATAGCCAATCAGAACCAGTGCTTACTTCTCTTAACCAATCAGCTTCATTGTTGATATTACCTTAGCCAATCAGTATCATTGTTGACATTACCTTAGCCAATCAGCATCATTGTTGACATTACCTTAGCCAATCAGCATCATTGTTGACATTACCTGAGCCAATCAGTATCATTGTTGACATTACCTTAGCCAATCAGTATCATTGTTTACATTTCATAGCCGTCTGGAGATACAGCCAATAGCCGACGGGGTAAGGAAGTTGACACGGACCAATAGCATCAGTTCGTCGTTTGCTATCCTATCGAAACAACCAATAGGGAAGGGATTGAGTTAGTAGCCAATGGAACTTGTTGATTCAGTTGCCTTCACATGTAATAAGTATTTTGATTAACCTCATCCTACCTAATGGAGAGGAGAGGAAGAGAGGGAGAGAGAGAGAAGAGGAGAGGGAGAGAGGAAGAGAGGGAGAGGGAAGAGGAGGAGAGGGAGAGAGAGAAGAGGAGAGGGAGAAGAGGAGAGGGAGAGAAGAGGAGAGGGAGAGAAGAGGAGAGGGAGAGAGAGGGAGAGAGGGAGAGAGAGAAGAGGAGGAGAGAGAGGGAAGAGAGGAGAGAGGAGGGAAGAGAGGAGAGGAGAGAAGAGGAGAGGAGAGAGAGAAGAGGAGAGGAGAGAGAGGAAGAGAGGAGAGAGAGAGAGGGAAGAGGAGAGGGAGAGAAGAGGAGAGGGAGAGAGAGAGAAGAGGAGGAGAGGGAGAGAGAGGGAAGAGGAGAGGGAGAGAGAGAAGAGGAGAAGGAGAGGAGAGAGAGAAAGAGGGGGTGGGAAAGAAGGAGGGGCATGGGAAATAAGAGAGGGGAAGGAAGGAAAGGGTGAATGAAGAGTGGAGAAAGAAAGGAAAAAATGAAAGAGGGAAAGATGAAAGGAAGGAAGGATGGAAAGAGATGAGAGAAGGAAGGAAGGAAGGAAGTGATAAATAGCAAGAAAACAAAGCAGAGGGAGATAAGAGGGAAAGAGACACTAGTCGATTATAATCCCTCCTCTCCCCTCCCTCCCCCTCTCCCCCTCTCCCCCCTCTCCCTCTCTCCTCAACTCATTTCTCACCAGCCAATAGGAAGAGAGGATTCAGGTGTAGTTTATAAAGTTTTTAGCTCATTGGCTGATGCCGTACTTGTCTGTCTGTCTCTTTGTCTGTGTGTGTGTTTGTGTGTTTGTTTGTGTTTGTGTTTGTGTGTGTGTTTGTGTGTGTGTGTTTGTTTGTTGTGTGTGTTGTTTTGTGTGTGTGTGTTTGTGTGTGTGTTTTGTTTGTGTGTGTGTGTTTGTTTGTGTTTGTTTGTGTTTGTTTTCTTGTGTTGTGTGTTTGAGAAAATTATTATTATAGTAAATGGATAAATCGCTTTGATGTTTTGTGTTATACTGTTATCTTTCTTCCCCCTTCCCTCTTTCTTCCCTCTTCCTCTCTCTCTCCTCCTCCCCTTTTTCTTCTGACCTCTTCCATCTCCCCCCTTCACTTCTGTTCCTCCCTCCCAACCTCCTCCTCCTCTCCCCTACTTCTTCCCCTCCTTCCTTCCTACTTCTTCCCTCCCTTCTCTCCCCTTCTCTCCTCCCTCCTTCTCCCTCCTCCTCCCTCTCTCCCTCCCTTCTCTCCCTTTTCTCCCTCCTTCTCTCCCTCCCCTCTCCCTCCCTTCTCCCTTCCTTTCTCCCTTCCTTTCTCCCCTTCCTTCTCCCTCCCTTCTCTCCCTCCCTTCTCCCTCCCTTCTCTCCCCTTCCTTCTCTCCCTCCTTTCTCCCTCCCTCCCTTCTCTCCCTTCTCCCTCCCTTCTCTCCCCTTCCTTCTCTCCCCTCCCTTCTCTCCCTCCCTTTCTCTCCCTCCCTTCTCTCCCCTCTTCTCCCCTCTCGAACTCAACTGTCAACAAATCCGATTAAAGACTTTCCCTAACTGTGCCGACTCTCTCTCTCTCTCTCTCTCTCTCTCCCTCTCTTCCCCCCTTCGCATCCATACATACATAATCATACGAGCACACAACCACCCACCCATCCATACATACACCCATACATACATACATACATATAATAATAATGGAAGCCCTCGAAATCAAAGATGGCCGGACCAAGGCCACCTAGGCATGAATTAGATTAAGGTGTAGAAGCTGTCGCCAACACAACAACCACACCCTGAAGCTGTCGCCAACACAACAACCACACCCTGAAGCTGTCGCCAACACAACAACCACACCCTCTGAAGCTGTCGCCAACACAACAACCACACCCTGAAGCTGTCGCCAACACAACAACCACACACCCTGAAGCTGTCGCCAACACAACAACCACACCCTGAAGCTGTCGCCAACACAACAACCACACCCTGAAGCTGTCGCCAACACAACAACCACACCCCTGAAGCTGTCGCCAACACAACAACCACCCTGAAGCTGTCGCCAACACAACAACCACACCCTGAAGCTGTCGCCAACACAACAACCACACCCTGAAGCTGTCGCCAACACAACAACCACACCCCCTGAGTCAACGAGCTGCATGACCCAGTAGTAAAGAATAGTCCGAGAAGACCGGACAACTCGCCAACTGCACTGGCTAACCATTACCCCGGAACACAATCCAAATCGATTAACATCCAGGTCCCCAATTACTGCTGGAGACAGAGGCAAATGGCGTAAAGAAAACTGACCATAGTTTCACCCTGCACCAGCGGAGAGACACACACACACACACACACACACATGGGGTCAGGCAAAATTGAATCAGGTTTTTGCTGTACGTTTTATTGAAGAGAAAACTCAATTGTGAAAACCTACACGATCCTTCAGCAGTGGGCAATATTGTTTTGTGTTTAATTATTGATGTTATGGTGTGTGTGTGTGTGTGTATATGTATGAGAGAAACGGGCGCTGGTTGGTCTATATTGGTTATGACGTCAATTGTTTGTTTATTATTTTTAAGTTAGATTGAGTTAGGTTAAGTTTGCATTAGGATTAAGTCATATTTAGGTCAGGTTAGGTTTAAACTACGTTGGTTAAGGTCAGGTTTTATCCTGTTCTCGATTGGTTTATCTAAAGGTTTAATTCAGTATTAATTAACTATTTTATCTGGTGTCGTACAAAGACAGTGGGCGGGGCAAGTGACGTCATAGTGTACTGGGGCCAATCAGGGCTCGTTATTCCCCCAAACCTTAATATTTTACGTAGATTAATTTAAATTTAATATAATTTGGAGATAATTATAATTGTATAACTACTGGGATTATATATCATGGTATAATATATATAATCTGATAATATAGTTATTTTTGTATAGTCTGTGGACAGATTTAAGTAAAACTGGTTCTATATTTAATTAACAAGGTATATTTAATTATCAAGGTATATTTAATTAACAAGGTATATTTAATTATCAAGGTATATTTAATTTTAATACCAATATATAATTAATTTTAGATATCAAATATAATTAAGTATAAGTAAGCCAATTAATTATAAGTATTAAAAACCTAATTAAATATAAGTAGTCAGGATATATTTCACGCTATATAACTCTGGAGATATTTTTTACCCTAATGAGAGATTTTATTTCTTTACAGGATTTGGAAGATGTAAATGAAGGAAGAGAGCAAGTCGACCAGCGATAGAGATAGGTAAGTACAGGTTAATTAACAGGTTGGTTGACCAGGTGTGTTAGGGGTTGACCAGGTGTGTGAGGGGTTGACCAGGTGTGTGTGTGTGGGGAGGGAGGGGTGACGACCTATATTTGACCTAATGTTTGACCCCTGACATAATGTTTTGACCCTTGACCTAATAAGAACTTAAGAATGGAGGAAACTGCAGCGGGCCATACTGGACAGTCCCGTTTACACCCAACCCCTATCGCTCATATATCCATCCAACCTATGTTTGAAGCTATCTAGCGTATTCGAGTTAATGATGATATTTGGTAACTTGTTCCATTCATCCACTACTCTATTTCCAAACCAGTGTTTACCTATTTCGCGCCTAAATCTAATTTTTTCTAATTTAAAACCATTGCTGCGAGTTCGCTCCTGGTTGGATAGTTTGAGTACCTTTGTTATCTCCCCTTTGTTTAGCCCTGACTTCCATTTATACACCTCTATCATATCGCCCCTCACTCTACGTCTCTCGAGGGAGTGTAAATTAAGATGCTTTAACCTGTCTCTATACTCAAGGTTCCTAATGCCCGGGATTAGTCTTGTCATTCTCCTCTGAATTCTTTCCAAGGACTCTATATCCATTCTGTAGTACGGTGACCTGAACTGAAGCACCTTAAGGTCACGATGATTCAGGGTGTGAGGGGGGGGGGGTCTTCCTGGCGGGTTGGTCTATTCTTGTAGGTTAGGTTAGTTAGGGTTAGGTTAGGTTAGGTTAGGTTTAGTCACTCTCTCTATTTCTCCCCTTTCTAAAATTAATCAGATTTTCCTTTATTCTTTATTTACTCTCTCTCTCTCTCTCCCTCCCTTTCTTCCTTCTTCCTTTGTCCCCTCTCTCTCCCTCTCTCTCTCTCTCTCTTCTTTGTTTACCCTTTTCTATCTTACCCTCTCTCTCCTCTCTTCCTTTCCCCCCTCACCCTCTCTCCCCTCTTCCTTTCTCACCCCTCTCTCTCCTCACCCCCTCTCTCCCCTCTTCCTTTCCCCTCTCCTCTTCCTTTCCCTACCACTCCTCCCCTTCGCTCCCTGTTTCCCTCTGATGAATAAATTGGATCACTTTCCTGGTTTATCGAGTCCCACACTACACCAGTCACCAAGACCTGATTTACACAGTTCAGGAGGTTAGGTTAGGTTAGGTTTGGTTAGGTTTGGTTAGGTTAGGTTAGGTTTGGTTAGGTTAGGTTTGGTTAGGTTTGGTTAGGTTAGGTTTGGTTAGGTTAGGTTGTGTCAGGTTTGGGTTGGGTTAGTTTAGGTTTGGTTGGGTCAGGTTTGGGTTAGGTTAGGTTTGGTTAGGCTAGGCTAGGCTAGGTTGGTCTGTTTAGGCTAGGCTAGATGATAGAACACAGAGATATGATCCAAAATCAACTTGAGAATAATACCGAGACTCTAACCTAACCTAACCTTAACTAGATACTGTTGTTCAATTAGCTCCAGTTAATTTTCTTTCAAGGTTACTGTGACGTCACTAGCCAGGTGTAAAGGGTCCCTGTGCCTGGTAATGAGATCAACTTATGACGTAACTCAGGTAACATTGTCGGCGGAGTTTACAGAGTCCCTTGATGTTTGTGTTTACAGAGTCCCTTGATGTTTGTGTTTACAGAGTCCTTTGATGTTTGTGTTTACAGAGTCCCTTGATGTTTGTGTTTACAGAGTCCCTTGATGTTTGTGTTTACAGAGTCCCTTGATGTTTGTGTTTACAGAGTCCCTTGATGTTTGTGTTTACAGAGTCCCTTGATGTTTGTGTTTACAGAGTCCCTTGATGTTTGTGTTTACAGAGTCCCTTGATGTTTGTGTTTACAGAGTCCCTTGATGTTTGTGTTTACAGAGTCCCTTGATGTTTGTGTTTACAGAGTCCCTTGATGTTTGTGTTTACAGAGTCCCTTGATGTTTGTGTTTACAGAGTCCCTTGATGTTTGTGTTTACAGAGTCCCTTGATGTTTGTGTTTACAGAGTCCCTTGACGTTCCCCTGTTCCTCCTCCACCCTCCTCCTCCTCTTCCTCCTCCTCCTCCTCCTCCTCGTGACACACACACCAGACAGGTACTCCCTCGACCACGACAATCAGAACCAGTTTATTGTAACTCAACACATACGCGCCTTTCCGCTCTCCCTCGCCGTCCTGCCCCACGCCCTTCTGACCCGCGCCCTCCTGACCTGGCGCCTCCTGCCCCACGCCCTTCTGACCCGCGCCCTCCTGACCCACGCCTTTCTGACCCACGCCCCTCATATTTCTCCCTCCCTCTCACTCATTCATTCCCTCCTTCCTTCCTTCCTTCCTTCCCCTCTCCCTTCAATTTTTTATCTCCTGTCCTTTTCCCTCCCTCTCCTCCTCCTTCCGTCACTTTCATATGAGATCTTTTGTGTGGTGGAAGAGGTGGAAGAGTGAAGTATGAGAGGAAACAAGAGGTGATAGTGTTGTGCGTGTGTGTGTGTGTGTGTGTGTGTGTGTGTGTGTACGAAACCACACACCACTATCACATTACACCACACCACCACCACCACGCCACCACCACCACCACACCACCACCACTCCACATCTCCCTTTTTAAGGTGGCAGACGTTCTCTGAATTAATCAATTAATCAGTTTGCGCTTCAAGAACTGATTCAACCACCACCACCACACCACTATCACCACCACCACCACCACACAATCACCACCACACTACTATCTACCACCACCACACAATCACCACCACCACCACACAATCACCACCACACAATCACCACCACACCACTATCACCACCACAACCACATCATCACCACACCACTGCTGCTGCATCTGTCATGGTCCTGTTACATAAATACATACACACCTAGGCGTGAATTTGTTTAAGTTGTAGAAGCTGTCGCCAACACAACAACCACACCCTGAAGCTGTCGCCAACACAACAACCACACCCTGAAGCTGTTGCCAACACAACAACCACACCCTGAAGCTGTTGCCAACACAACAACCACACCCTGAAGCTGTCGCCAACACAACAACCACACCCTGAAGCTGTCGCCAACACAACAACCACACCCTGAAGCTGTCGCCAACACAACAACCACACCCTGAGTTAACGAGCTGCATGACCCAGTGTCAAAGAATAGTCCTAGAAGACCGGACAACTCGCTAACTGCACTGGCTAACCATTACCCCGGAACACGATCCCCAATTACTGCTGGGTAGACAGAGGCAAATGGCGTAAAGAAACTTGTCCATAGTTTCACCCAGCCCGGGGATCGAACCCGGGTCCACTCACTTGCGAGGCGAGCGTGTTGACCATTACACCACAGGTCGCCAGATACATACAGACATAAATACGTACTGTACCTACAGATTACAGTTGCACGCAGGTATATACTGTACTGTACGAACAGGTACAGTCTCGTTCAAGAGTCTTCGAACACTACTGGAGACAGCTGGCAACTCAAGGCCGTTTGTTTACTATAATACGTAGTGTAATATAATACGAGACAACAAAACCCAACCATTAAATTAAGCAACGGGGAACTAAGTAACCAATCACCGATCACTTTTACACTTGTTCATAATTTTTTACTACTTACTATAGTACATAAACGGCCTTGAGTTGCCAGCAGTGTTCGAAGACTCTTGAACGAGACTGTGCATAAGGATTTTTTAATTCCCTCAGATTTTATTATTTCCCACTGATTATGTTATCTCCCTCAGATTTTATTAGCCGATTTACTTCCCATGTTGGTATACTCTCAAGGGTCGAACAAATCCCGAGACATAGTTTAGCGAATATTAACCTTTTGATGAAATTCCTACTTTTTTTTTTTTTTTGTTTCGGACGCCGCCGCCATGTTGGAGAAGTACCACGAACAGCAGCCTAAAATAATCCTCCACTCGTCGCCACAATACAGCCAGATCATTAACCTCTGTGAAACAATATGACACTATGGACGAGGTGATAGTGGAATATATATGTGTGTTGGCCCTATATTATGGTGGTAGCTTTGCTTTCCTAACCTAACCTAACCTACTATTGAGTGAGACTGTACCTGAAATATATAGTCCTAATGTTAACCAGAAACCTCAACCAAATTAACCAGATACAGGATATTAGCCCAAAATATTAAGAGTGTTCGCCAAAAACTAATATTATCCAGAGCATTAACCATAACATTAACCGATATTAGTCACAAAAACATAATTATTAGCCTAAAACAATTATTATCCAGAGCATTAACCATAACATTAACCAATATTAGCCACAAAAACATAATTATTAGCGTAAAACAATTATTATCCAGAGCATTAACCATAACATTAACCGATATTAGCCACAAAAACATAATTATTAGCCTAAAACTAATATTATCCAGAGCATTAACCATAACATTAACCAATATTAGCCACAAAAACATAATTATTAGCCTAAAACAATTATTATCCAGAGCATTAACCATAACATTAACCGATATTAGCCACAAAAACATAATTATTAGCCTAAAACTAATATTATCCAGAGCATTAACCATAACATTAACCAATATTAGCCACAAAAACATAATTATTAGCCTAAAACAATTATTATCCAGAGCATTAACCATAACATTAACCGATATTAGCCACAAAAACATAATTATTAGCCTAAAACTAATATTATCCAGAGCATTAACCATAACATTAACCAATATTAGCCACAAAAACATAATTATTAGCCTAAAACAATTATTATCCAGAGCATTAACCATAACATTAACCGATATTAGCCACAAAAACATAATTATTAGCCTAAAACTAATATTATCCAGAGCATTAACCAATATTAGTCATAAAAACATAATTATTAGCCTAAAACAATTATTATCCAGAGCATTAACCATAACATTAACCAATATTAGCCAAACATAATTATTAGCCTAAACTACATTATCCAGAGCATTAACCAATATTAGTACAAAAACATAATTATTAGCCTAAAACAATTATTATCAGAGCAAAACATTAACCAATATTAGT